TCTTGAGCCTGCAGAGAAAAAAAAATGAATCCTAATTTTTAATACAAGAATTAAAAATTTGGCAACCATTGCTTTGAATGGCATTCTAGTCTATTCTCTAACAGGTTAAGAGACAATGGACATTTCACTTTTCTTTTAAAGTAAAGTAACCACCCCAAACCAGGATTCTATTATATTTAAATATTATCCCAGCTACAAAAAAATGAGACATTAAAAGGCCCTATTCATACAGCAGTAATGAGTAATACAAACATCTCTTGGTTGTTGGTGGTTGGAGCATTTTTTAAGATCATAAATAAAGGGTCTCTAAATGTTGTGGGCACTGTGGTTTCTCTCAGACAGTTCAATAAATATAAGATGGGACCAAGGGATAATTTAGCAAGTAAGTTTGGTAGAGAGTTTTGAGTAAGAAAACACCTTAGAATGTTTCTCATGGATCAAAGACAAGTTTTAATGAATTGGGTGGAGCAGATAGAGCTCTGAAGTTTATTCTCCTTTGTACAAAGGAAATGATCTCACAGTAATAATACAAATGGTATTCATGAAATATTTTTCTTTCCACAAAAGTTAATTACGAATGAACTACATAGCTCGTTAGAGTCAGAAAGCATAATACATTTTAGTAATTTACTTATTCTCTGGGAAGGGACTTTATGAATATTTGGGGAAAAATTTGGTTGAGGATAAATTAGATATAATGGGTTGTTTTTTAAAATGTCATAACAAGCATAATACATTTACTTTCAAGAATTTGAGATCCGTTCTCTACTCTGTTGCCAGCAGAATAACACTTTGCTTGCAGCCTCTGCCTGTCACTCCAAAATCTCATCATTTCCTGAACCTGAGTCACATGCTATTCAAACTACCTTGGATGCCTCCCTCTTTTCTTTCTTGGCAAATTGCTCATCCTTAATTTTATCTCCAGTGAAGTCTTCTCCAATTCACACTATTTTTCCTTCTTCTGTGCCTTAACAACACTTTGATCATATCCCTATATGAATATTTATCAATTTTCATTACAGTTACCAGTCTACTCACGTACTTCCACAGCTGGACAGTGCCTAGCTCCATGCCTGGCACACAGCACACATTCAGGAACACTTTTGTCATAATTACCTGATTATTACGTATTCAATCATCAATCATTATTCCTCATACCTAAAGATAGGTGCATATTTATATCTAGCTATACATCTATCTATAATTTACACAGTGAGCTTACATATGTGGTCTCCTTTTGAACTTCAAGATTACCACACAGGATTGTAAGAGTAGCTATCTTTAGTGCCATTTTTCAAACAGGGAAGGTGAGATGCCTGATACTCAGAAAGTCTTGCCCATGTCCATGAGAAATAAATGGAAGACATGAAATCAACTCCCATCTTTTGACTTTAAATCTAGTAACTATATTTAATTAAGTGGAATTTTTAGCTCATCCACGCATTCATAAATTTATTCCTTAGAGCTATTCTTCTATTTAAATAGAACTCAGGTGTATGAAAATGGATTAATATTATTCCTAGGTTTATCCCAGTCATCAATAGTTTATGCATGTCCCTAATTGTATGTATGTATGCATGTACTCATATTTGACAAATATGACTAATATACATGAATCCTTCATTCAACCTTACACCTAAAGTACTGGTATTAGCTATCTATATCTATGCACTACTCTTTTCCCATCTCACCAACCCTTGATTTACTGCCTAACCCTAAAGTATTTTGAATTTCATGTTTATCATTTCTTTATTTTATACAATTAGTTTAGTTTTGGTTCATTTTTAACTAGTTTGAACTTTGTATTAATATTATCATATTCCATAGAGTCTTCTGGAACTAGATTTTCTTAATTCAACTTTGTATTACTAATATGTATCCATACTATTTGTATAGTTGCAGTTTCTTGATTTTCACTCCTAATATTCTGTTATATGAATATGCCAGAATTTATTTAACCATTGTTTTATTTATAAAAACTGGAGTCATTTCCAGGTTTTCCTGTTTGTTTTTGATACTGTGAATAATGCTGCTAAGAATAATTTACTATTTTGAGGAAGAGTAATTGCCAGGTTGTCAAGTTGTTTTCACAAAGTAGTTATAACAATTTTTGTAACCTATGAAAGGTCCTGATTCATATGAAAGATCCCGATTCAACCTGCAAACTATGAAAGATCTGCACATTCTCTGCAATAATAATTATTGCCAGAATTGTAATATTTTGTCAATCATACAGATGTATGTATGATGGTATCTCATTTTAGCATTTTGCATTTCTTCAATTGCTAATAAGATTGAGGATATCTTCAGATATCATCTCTATGTATTTTTACAATTATTCATAGAAATTCTTTTTATTTTTGATACAAATCCTTTGTCAGTGATATACATTGTCAGTATCTTCTCCTGGTTTGAATCTTGTCTTTTGAGTTTCTTGGTAGTTGCTGTTTGCAAAGGAATGTTAACTGTTAACAGTCCACAACTACATCCTTCTCAAAAGAATTGTGCCTGGCCAATGGATCTGTCTCACCCAAAGGTTTCTGCCTCATGCCCTGGGTTCAGCCTGCAGCCAACAATTGACTGTTACACAGACACAAGAGGCTGACCCCTTTACCTCAAGGAAATACTTCCTCTGTGGTGCAATTCATGAGCCCACAGTTTTTCCATGGGATTTGGCTGACACTAGTCTCCAGCTGAAACCACATACTTCATCAACTCCTTCCCCTCCCTGTCTGGCTTCTTTCATTTCCCTATAGGTTCCTCCTGAGAGCATTTCCTCAATAAATCACTTGCACAAAAATCTTTATCTCAGGTCCTGCTTCTAGGAAATCCAACTTTAGATACTTTCTTTGAGGTACCTTTTGATGAACAGTTCTTACTATAATGAAATGTATCAATTTTTTATTTTCTGGATTTTCTGTTTTAAGAATCTATTTAGAAATCTTGCTTTACTCTAAGATCAGAAAGCTATCATTGTCTGTTATTCCTTGTAAAAATTTGAACGTTTTGCTTTGACACTTAATGCTATTTATTTTGGAGTTGATTATTTTATAAAATATGAGGTAGGAATTCAATATTTTATATGTGAATAACCATTTTGTCCAGGTCAATTTGTTGAAAATTTCTTATTTTCCCTGTTGTGTATCTTTTTAGAACACTGATGGTTTCGTCAACATTCAGCCCACACTTTTTAAATGCTTTTTATACATGAAAGACCTTGCATGGAGCTGGGGATATAAACATAAGATGATACAACTCCCCCTGCTGTCAGGGGCTTACAATGTAGTGAGAAAGTGGAATAAATCTCCAGCGAAATTACGTACAAATTAAGTCAACATCTATCAGCAGGAGACAGGAAAAACTTCTTAGAGGAAGCAGAATGAAAAAACAGAAATTTTATAGTTTAGAGAGGTAGTTATTTCTTGGTGTTTCCAAGTTGAAGAAACACTTTTTACAAAAGTACTGATTGTAAATGAGCATATATTATTTCAGAATATTTCCTATAGTTCTATGTGGTACAAAAGGTGTGCACAGAAAAAAAGTGTACCAGAAAAAAAATTTTAGATATAGGCAGGAGTCAACCTATAAAGGGCTTTTTTTTGTTAATGGAACTTTGGTTGTAATCTTTTATCTTCCAGCACAGCCATCTTCTCTTAACAGGTGACCTCCATTCTTGCCACTGCCTTGGAGAAAGTAATGTAACACATAGTTAGCTGAAATACCCTACTCTTTTGGACAGGGGCATTGGTCTATGCTTTGTTTTAAATGTCTCCTCCAAAACTCATGTTGAAACTTAATACCCAATATGACAGTACTGGTGGGAGTGCTGTAAGACATGATTATGAGAGCTCTGTGCTCATGAATGAATTAATTATTCATGGATGGATAGATTAACAAGTTAATGGATCAATGAGTTATCATGGAAAGGAACTCGTAGCTTTATAAAAATAAAGGAGACCTGAGCTAGCACATTAGCATTCTTAGCCCCATCTCCATGTGATGCCCTGCACTGCCTCAGGATGCCACAGTGAGTTCCCACCAGAAAGAAAGCTCTCAACAGATGCACACCCTCAACCTGGTACTTCCCAGCCTCCATAACTGTAAGATATAAATTTCTTTTCTTTATAAATTACCCAGTTTCAGGTACTCTAAAACAGAAAACAGACTAATGGAGATTAAAAGTGGGCATGTGCTGCAAACAGGTCTGATCAGAGTCCTCCTATGGGAATAGCATATAGAAGTTATATACCTCTGCAGGGTCTATATTTGCTTGATCACGCCAAGCACTAAACCTACTCATATTACCTCCCTTCCCTTCCACTCTCCTTTAAGAATTCACATAACTCAAGTATCTGTGTTAAATAATTTAATAACACTTTTTAGGATTCTTGAAGAAATGATGTTGATACATATTTTTGTTCTTGATAAAAAAACAGAGAATACCCTTTGATTACAAATCATTCTACTATAAAGACACATGCACACGTATGTTTATTGCAGCACTGTTCACAATAGCAAAGACTTGAGACCAACACAAATGCCCATCAATAATAGACTGGATGAAGAAAGTGTGGCACATATGCACCATGAAATACTATGTAGCCATAAAAAGGATGAGTTCGTGTCCTTCGAAGGTAATGAATGACGCTGGTAACCATCATTCTCAGCAAACTGACACAAGAACAGAAAACCAAACACTGCATGTCCTCACTCATAAGTGAGAGTTGAATAATGAGAACACATGGACACAGGAAGGGGAACATCACACACCGGGACCTGGCATGGGGTCAGGGGCTAAGGGAAGGATAAGGATAGCATTAGGAGAAATAACTAATGAAGATGACGGGTTGATGAGTGCAGCAAACCACCATGGCACGTGTATACCTAGGTAACAAACCTACATGTTCTACACATGTATCTCAAAACTTAAAGCATAATAATAATAAAATTAAAAAGGATACCCTTTAAAAGTGTGGATTTTATTTGTTATAAATTATTCTTAGAGATTACTATGAAATTTTCAGAGAAGATTAGAAATTATTAAGGAAATTAAAATAATTCATGGCCCCAACCATTAAAGAAAAATGCAGTTAAATATTTACCATCTTATTTTTCAGGTTCACAAAAGTGCAGAGATACTGGTTTTAAAATTACAATTGAATTTGTTATTTTTTATAGCCAAATGTTATACCATGATTGTTTATATGAAACAAATCTAGAGTATTTAACTACCACGTTTCATCGTATGGTTACATTACTTAGCCATTAGTCTGTTTGTGAAGATTCTGGTTGCTTTCAATTTTCATAATTTTAAAGAATGCTGCCATAAGCATTCAATATGTAGATTTTGTGCATTTTAGATTTTGTATTGGATAAATTCCTAATGGAATTGCTGGGACAGAGGTTACATACATTTTTAGGACTCTTTCCACACGAGAACTTTGCAAATTAGACTATATGTTTTATTTCAGCAGAATAAGACAAGTCTGTAGTGACAGATGATCCCAAGTCCCAGAATTTTGCAGCACTTAAAAATGCAGGGCAATCAGATTCAGCAGCACTTTAGCATTTGGGGCATAATGTGATGGGCTGATTTCTGTGCTAACTCTACAGTGTTTGTGACTGATGCACATTCTCCAAAGCTTCTTTTTCATAGAAACAAAATATTCTAAGATGTGTAGATCTCGAGATCTGAGGTCTCAGTTTAAATTTTCCATGTTTCTTTGAGGGTGGGGTGAAGGGTGATGTGTTTTTCCTTCCTGAAGATAGTTCTACAAATGGATTCTAAAGATTGAAGGCCTATTTTTGAGAATTAACTATACCAAGAATTTTACATTCATGATCTCATTTAATCCCTTCCAACAGCCTTTGAGAATTTGAGTGGTATACTATGAAACAATATACAGGTTTTGCAACCGGTTTAAGTTGGCAAATCCAGGTTTTATCAATTGTTTGCTGTGCTACTTTAATTGCCTTTTGAAAAGTATTAATTTCTCTGAGATTTCTCGATAAAATTATGGAGATATGAATAAATACCTTACGAAGTATATATTTCAATTAAATGAGAAAATGCAGGTAGAGCAATCAGCATAGTATATCTCTGTCTTATCCTGGGATCCTCTGAGATCAGAGTCTGAGGCATACACATGGTTTATTCTGGAAGTGATTGCCAAGAACAGGACTGAAGGTCTACGGAGGAGAACAGGAAATAAGGGAAAACTGATACAAGGATGTTTTTAAGTAGGGCAGTGGTGCAGATGATTGGCTCTCAACCTTCCTTCTACGAGTGTTATGAAAGGCATATTAGAACTCTTTGCCTAAGGAAAATAGGGAAGCAAATATTTAATCCTCAGCAACCTTCTCCCATCAGTTAAAAATAATCCCAGGGTTTTACCTCCCCTGTATTTCCAGGTTGTGTATCTGTCAAGTTAATGCAGAGAAGCCTGCAGCAATACAGATGAGGGGCAAGGTACAGCTGGTTGCACAAAACCATAGCAGTTGAAGCAAAAGGTGGAGTCTATGAGGATGTTCAGGGATACACGAGGGGTGTCTGCATTTCCTATTGCTGTTATAACAAATTATCACAAATTTAGTGGCTTAATACAACATAAATTTCTTATTTTATAGTGCTGGAGGTTGGAAGTTCAAAAATGTCTCTTATGTAACTAAAACCATAATGTTGTCAGGACTGCATTCTTTTTGATGGCTCTAGAGAAAAATCTGTTTCTCGCTTTTGCCAGCTTCTAGGCTTAGCCTCCCTTCCAACAAGGGTGTCATTCTGACTTCACCTCTGTCGTCATACCACTTTCTCTAACCCTGACACTCCTACCTCACTTTTATGTGAACCATTGTGATAATGTTGAATCCAGCTGACAATTCATGAGAATCTTCCCAACTCAGGATCCTTAATCACATCTACTAGATATATATTGCCATGTTAGGTGACATATTCACAGGTTTCATGGATTAGCAGAGGGACAACTTTGGGGAGTCATTGCTCTGCCTACCACAGTGTGGGTTCAGGCTTCTAGTACTTATTTGTTAAGTACCTTCTCCTACTGCTTGCTGAGTTCTATCCTCCCCAATTGTATTCATTAGGGTTCTCCAGCAAAACAGAACCAATAGGATGTATCTATACATAATGAGATTTAATACAGGCTGTTGGCTCATGCAGTTGTGGAGTCTGAGAAATTACACAATCTGCTTTCTGCAAGGTGGAGACCCAGAAATTAGGAGAAGGGAACCACAAATGTATAGTTCAAAGCCCTAAGAGTCAGAGACCCAGTGTCACAGATTCCAGTTTGAGACTAAGTCCTGAGAACCAGAAACATTGAGGGTAGGAGAAGATCTATGTTCAGCTCAAGCAGTCAGGCAGAGAGCCAGCAAGTTCTCTCTTCCTCCACTTTTTTGTTCTATTGAGTCCACCTACATTGAGAAGCACTATTCATTTGACACAGTGTACTGATTCACATGTTAATCGCTTCTGGAAACACTCTCATAGATACACCCCAAAATAATGTTTAACCAGGTATCTGGACATCTCGTTAGTCAAATTTCCACATATAATTCATTATCATGCCATCTGTATGTTTGTTTTCATGCTGCTAATAAAGACATATCTGAAACTGGTAACAAAAAAAGATTAAATTGGGTTTACAGTTCCAAGTGGCTGGGGAGGCCTCAGAATCATGGGGGGAGGCAAAAGGTACTTCTTACATGGGTGGCAAGAGAAAAATGAGGAAGAAGTGAAACCCCTTGATAAACCTATTAGATCAGATGAGACTTATTCACTATCTCGAAAATAGCAAGGGAAGACCGGCCCCCGTGATTCAGTTACCTCTCCCAGGTCGCTCTCACATTGAGATTTGAATGGGGACACAACCAAACTCCATATCACCACCCGACATAAATTTTGATAATTCACATAGCTAGTAATTGGGCAGGCAAAGCCACAAATCCACATGATGTGGTTGCAAATCCATTGATTTGGAGATTTTAGCAGTCAAAATCTCATTCGTGGGTGTGGTAAAGGACAGGGTTGGTAGTACTGCCACCAGCACAAGGGCATGTGCGATTCAGAGCTACAAGAATGAGCCAGTGTAAGAGAGAAGAAATTTAACCCAAAGCCTGCACTAGAAGCCCCTCCAGTTTAGAGTTCATTTCCATATGATTATACTAAATTGCTTTTAATCTACAAGGGAAGAAAATTTACTGTTTTTAAGTTGTCCATCACAGGAACTTTGACTAAAAGATAAAGTTGCTGAATCTAAGAGATCATTATTCATTACAAAATATTAGATAAATATTGAATAAGAAATATTTTTAGCATGACTTTTTTTAATAGGACAAAACTTTGCTCAGGTTTTTAGTGAAAATCAACACTTAAATGGAATATATGGGATGAAACTACAACACAGGTGCTCCAATCTGAATATTTATAACAAAAGTGTACATGTAAAAAGTAAATAAAATAAACATCCACAAAACCACCATTCAGCTTAAGGAAAAAATACATTACCAATAACTTAAGAATGCCTGTGCTTTTCTGATCCTATCCCCTACCCTATTTCCTAACAGGGATCACTACCCTGAATTTTATATTTATTATTCCCTTTCTTTTTTTTTGATAGTTTTTAAAATAATCTACATATTTTTAAACAATATATTTTTAGTATTGCATATAAGTGGGATGATCCTTATGAGTTCTGCTATTCAATCATACTGATATATATAACCTTATCTGATTCATTTGTTCATTTATACTGCTGTGTATTCACTCTTGCCAATGGATATTTAAGTTGTTCCTTCCTTGGTGGTATGTGTTGTCACTTTTATTAGTTTTGCTTCTTTTTAAATATTACAAATTACAAACATGTTTGTACTTGACTCTTCATGCACATGTATAAAATTTTTTTTAAGTTTGAATCCCGGAAATGAATTATTTGATTATAAGGTAGGCACATGGCCAAATTAAAAGAAAATTCTAATTGATTTCCAAATTGATTATAAAATGTAAATAGTCTCCAGCAGATATATGAGTTGTTTTATTCTACATTCTTACCAAAATTTGGTATCAGCAGACTTTTAAAATATTGTCATTTTAGCAAATGCAAAATAGTATATTTTATGAAATGTTAAATGGATAAACATTTACTTTATGAAAGCACTTCCATGTCTTGGTTATAAAATTTTCTTCCACCCAAAGGTTATATAGATATTCTTCTATATTGTCTTCTAAAATTAAAATAAAATCTAAAATGGTTCACTTTCAAATTTAAGACTTTAACTGGAATAGATTTTTGTATACAGAGAGAAATCTAATTTATTTTCTTCATATAAATAACTATTTTTCTAGTATCATTAATTATCTTTTCTTTATACAATTATTTGTACTGTAAGTTTTGTTATATATCATTTGCATTTATTTGTGAGTTTGTTTTTGCTATATCTCTTCTGATTTCATTTATTTTTTCTATCTTCTAGTCAAAACTGAATTTCTAACTAAAGTGCTTTATGTAAAGCTCTTGACATCAAATAGGATATGTTTTCTGCTTTCTTTCCTCCATTCCCCCAGGGGTATTTTGGCTGTTAATAGCTTTTCCTCCTTCACAAAAATTCTAGAATCAATTTCAAGTTTTAGAATTAATTTGTCAATTTGTATAAAAGCCTTGATAAGTTTTTGACTTAAGTTTTAAGGGTAGCTTTAAACTACTGGAATCTCTCTATTTATGAACATGGTATACCTTACCTTCCCATTGGTTTAAATCTCTTTTAACGTTATTAAATTAAGTTTTGTAAATTTTCTTTATGTCATAAAAATCTTTCTTTTATTTCTTCTTATAAGTGTGCAGGTGAATAGATTGTATTTTTGCTGTTATTGTAAATGATATCATTTTTCTAATGATATCATTAGAAATTTTCTAACATTAAATTTTCTAATTCTCATTGATGAGGCCTGGGAATGCAATTGAATTTTATGTAGAGATATTGTTTTGATCAACATTGCAAAGTTTCTTGTTAAAGTCTAGTAGTTTATCAGTACTTGCTTTACCTACTTTCTGGGTCATAAAAGTTGCCTTTTAACTGTCTTCAGATAGTGAAAGGGGCAAGACAGATCTCTGTGGCCTCTTTTACAATGGATTTGTCCTTTTCATGAGGATTCTACCTTCATGACCTAATCATTTCTCAAAAGAATCCACCTTCTTATACCCATCACATTGGTAACTAGGTTTTCAACACAGAATTCTGGGAGAGACAAATATTCAGGATATCGCCTCTTCTATGTATTTAACATTTACTTATTAAATGTCACTTCTGATTCTAGTTTATCATAAATTTTATCAAGCATGGATGTTAAATGTTGGTGAATTCTTCTTTTATACCAACTGAGAAGATCGTGCATTTTTCTCATTTAATCATATGCTAATATAATGAATTTATACTAATTAATTTTTATATTAAACCTACCTTGCAATCCTGGAAAATCTAAACATTCATAATGTATTATAAATTTTTTAGATTGTTCATTTATTTTTGCTAATACTGTGTTAAATATTTTAACATGCATAGAAATAATGTATTTCTTATTTCTTTTACTATTTTTTATTTTGATATCCAGTGACTTATTCAAAATTTTTGTGTTGTAAATAAAGAATAAGTCCACTTACTTTGATTGAAATTACTAATTCTACTTTCTACCACCCAATTTTTATTTGTCTTACTTTTCCCATTTTTCCCACATTCTTGCCTCCCTTCAAATTGATTGGGTCTTTCCTCCAGTATTCATTTTTTAATCTTCTCAAGTTGGAAAGTACATACATTTTAGCTAACTTTGTAGTCACTACTTATAAGTATTTTGCCAAATATTTTACAAAGTTTAGAATTATCTAAGGAGGTTGAGGTAGGAGTATTACTTGAGCCTGGGAAATTGAGGCTGCAGTAACACATGATTGCACCACTGCTCTTCAGCAAGAGTGACAGAGTGAGATGCTGTCTCAAATAAAATAAAATAAAAATCTATATATTTGCTCTACTTTTGGACACTGAAAGAACCTTACAACACTTGAACATCTAATCTTCATTTTTTTTCAAACTATGTACTATTTTTGCTGAGTGTTAAAACACTAGACTTCAGAGGATGTATGGAAATGCCTGAATATGCAGGCAGAAGTTTGCTGCAGGGGCAGGGCACTTATGGAGAATCTCTGTTAGGGCAGTATAGAAGGAAAATGTGAGGTTGGTGCCCCCACCCAACTGGGTATTCCCACTGGGGCACTGCTTAGTGGAGCTGTGAGAAGAGGGCCACCATTATCCAGAC